GTTCTTATCTATGTACAAGGCCACACCACCTCCCATCTTATTCTCTCTGTTTATGCATACCAAGTTATAGCCTTCGAGGTCAAAATCCATTCCTCTTACAGTGTTTATCCAAGTCTCAGATATTGCAATTATATTAAAAGAATGTTGTAGACTACTAAGGTAATGTTTTATACTCTGAAAGTTTGCATATAAAATGAATTAATGATAGCTTGTTCTCAGTCTTGACATTGCTGTTAAACTGCTCATCCGTGTAATACTTACAGATTTTTTCAGAGTTCTTATAAAAATTTATTTCAGGGTCAAAGTCTTCGTCCGGTTCGTGATAATGACTTTCAAAATCTCCAGTAGTATTCAGTTCCAGCTCCAGTCCCTCCAAGTCTATTAACTTCTGTAACAATCCACTTGCCTCATTCCCTACATTAACTTTACAATTGGTCAATTTGACCTGCAACATAACACGAGGGTTAAAGTGGTTGGGGCAAGTCGTTCCACGCACCAGTAAGATGATAAATACAATCCAGGAAGCCCAGTCTGACCAACAACATAATGAGTCTGAGGTTTTAACACACAACGAAACACTGCTGCAGTTTCCATTACTCCAAGACTCTGGACAGATTCATTATTTTATCAGTTTCACAACGACTTCTTTTATCACATATGCTTTATAGCCATATTAAAAAGTAATTACAGGAATGCGTGTCTGCATGTGTTTGACTGGCTACAGTAATACAACAGGCTGCTGGATGTTGCTACATTGTGTTGCAACAACAGCTGAGCCAGTGTGAGCTTGAGTATGGCTGCGGTTGTCTGCATGGAGCCCCAGCATGGTGACAGTGTGGATGCCAGTCTCAAAACACCCTAACACTCTCTCTGACATCTTAATGCTCCACTTAACACCCCCCCAACACAGCAATAATCTGCTCAGCACCCTGCAGTTTGTCTAACACCCTACCTAACAGCCCATGATAATGTCTGACATCGGTTCCACAGAGAAGAAATGTGTGTAGAATCTCTGAAACGTGGAGCAAAAATCAGGCAGAGCTGTATTAATAAATTTACACATGTCGAAATGTGAAAGTGTGACAGCTGCCTTTGTTTTTCTAACGTTGTGGCGCATGTAGCTTGTGCACATCACGTCTGTTGAGTAAAGTAGCTCCGTTTCCCATCACTCCATCTCTATGTATTTGCCCTGTGTGTTCTGTAGGTTGATGTACCGTTGCCCTCTTAATGACAAAAACCATCCAGTGGTTACACAAACAGTCAAAGAGCTCTGCTGGCTCAGTCAGATTCTCCAGCATTAAGTATGCAGCAGTGTGTCAACTTGCATGTGCGTGAATGTGTGCATCACCTGTCCATCACCGCTGAAGGCGAGGCAGGCAATGCCGTGTGTGTGTCCATCACGAAGCAGAGACACAGTCTGAACAGTGAAGGAGTCCCACACACATACATAGGGATCCTTCCCCACTTGACCCGTCGCCACCAGGGAGCGCTCCGGGTGCAACGCCAGGCTGAAGGGGGAGGAGAGAGGAGGCAGGATGGAAGGAAGGAAGGGGGAGAGAAAGAGGTAGGGAGGAAGAAGACAGGAGGACAAAGAAAGAGCAACAACCAGGGTTAACATGGGTTTTTGGCTGTTTGACATGGAGGGTTAAAAGCAGCCGGAGGACATTCTTGGCATCTAAAGCTAACCTGTTTGTTTTGGTAGCATTAGCCACCTAGCATGGTCAGGATTTTACCTTTAAATTAATATGATTTTAATTTGGGAGGAGCTGGAGCTTTGTGTCACATCAGCAGTAACCAGAGGGTCCTACTGGACGGACACGTTTACTGTTAATCAGCTAATGCTAGCTTCAGGCTGGAGGCTGCAGTGTGGAGTTTGTCCCAACCAGGCATCTGTAGTTTACGTTGTTGCTAGGAAACAGGATGTGATGGGAGGAAGAGGTTTACGTTGTCAGTTTGTTTTGAGTCTCATGAGCCCATCGAGGCTGAAAGGACATTAGGTACAGTAGCTTTAATGCAGTGCTTAATAAAGTTAGCAGAGTTTGGGGTGTTGGGGATTTGGGTCTTAGAAACAGTAGTCAGGTGTCAGGTTGAGTGTTAAAGACTTAAGGAGTCAACAGGGAGGGAAGACTGCTAGGAGGCTGTTGGAGTCCAGTTGATGTGGAGTCAAACTGTTTAATACACTGGTTGCACTCATGGGTAACTGAGTACAGCATATTGCTTCATACTGTGTAAGATCTGCAGAGGAACCAGTGACTCCAGTTGATTGATGCAGAAAACTAAAAGGTTTCCATCTGAAATGTAGCAGAGAAATTTAAAGCTGCATAAATACTGCTTAAGTAAAAGTACCAATGCAACAACGTAAAAATACTCAAGTCCTGTACTCAAAAGTAGATAAATATTTCCAGCCAAATTAAAGTGTCAGAAGTAAAAGTGAGTCTCCTGAGTGATATAATACTTTATTTGTATAGCACAACTCAGTAGGAGCCCAAAGCGCTTCACAGAACAGCAGATAAAATACATGACCAACAACATACGAAATAAGAGCAAAACAAGAGAAACTAAAAACACACAAAAAAAGAAAATATAAATTGAAAGGTAATGATTAGGCTTCCATATCCAATATAAATTAAAAAAAACAGCGAGCTAAAAGACATCAACATGATGTCACTGAAGCAAATTTACCACAAAAAGCCTGTCTAAAAAGATACGTTTTTAGTTAAAAAAAACGATAACTCAGTTATTGACCGTAGCTCCAGTGGCAGAGAGTTCCAGAGCCTGGGGCCGTAAACAGCAAACACACGATATGTTGTTATATTCACTTTCTGCATACTTGTGTTGTAGATTCAATTTGAAATGAATAAAATCATCCATCTACATCCAATGACCCCTGAAGACAAAGTGACAACAGCAAAAAAACAGGAAAAATCAACTTTTATTTAAGAAAATGCATTCTTTATATCCCCATCTTCATCCCTTTTCATCTGCCTCTCTGTCTTTCTGAGGTCAGTGTGTGTCTCTATAAATACACTCACCCTCCGTGCTCTGCTGATGGTGTAATGATCCCTGGTGGGTGTGTGTGTGGGTGTGGGTGTGTGTAGGGTAGGCGCGGTGTGACCTTGGCTTTTCTCCTCATGCTTCAGCAAAGACCAACTTTTACATTAACAAATCTGTTTGTCCCTTTATGTTCTCCAGTTTAGACAGACACAGAAAGCTAAAGATGAAAATCATAGAGAAGTGTACTGTCTCTGTGAGTGTGTATTCGTTTGCACAAGTGTGTGACACACGAAGGGACTGTGTGTGAAGTTACAGGAGAAGAAAACATACCAGAAATAGCGCAGGTGCTCCTGCCACAAAGCCCCATTGATCCCAGGGATGCTGTCAGCTCCGTATACACACACACGCCCTTCAACATACACTCTCCTCCTCAACCGGCCAGCCAATGAGCCTGCTAGCTGCTGGCTGCCATGACAACCACATCACCAAGGGCCCAGGAGCCCAGGACTGAGCACAAAACTGTAGAGTCAAGGTCAAACATCACAAACCTCACCTGGTGCATGCACTGTGTCTTATGGCTGGTCCATGACTGAATCGTTCAACTGATGCTGTTGCTCTGTCTCCATCTCATTAAGCTACTTTAAATACCTGAGAGCTACTCGTGTCTTCTACTACTAGTTACACATACTCACACTTTGTATTGCACTCAAACTGATCTCCAAACCAGCTGAAACGAGTTCTCAAACATCAAATACCAGTACTCACATCAGTCATGTTCCTCCAGCTACACTCGGTCTTGTTCTGTGGTTCACATTTCTGCATGCGCATTCAAGCGTTGTACGGTAAAGACGACGTTTGTAGTTTGGGCTGCTAAAGACACACAGTCCAATATGACATGACACACAGGTTACTTACACTTTGAGCATTTCATTTTCTTGTGTCCCATGCGAACTAGCGTCCATAGACTCGTTTTAACTGCAGAACTTGCCTGAGGCTCGTCGCATTTTAAAGTTTTCTTCCATATCAAGCACATTTATTGACCAGTAGCCTACAGCCATGGGTACACAGCTAGCAGTGAGCTAACGGCTAAAAGCTAACTCGGCGTGTTCATTATTCTAAATATAAACAAATACAGGCTAAAATCGGGGTCACTGAATCCAACATATTGTACCTATGCTTCCTGTTTAAAAGTTTCGTTTGTATCAGTGTATTTAAATGAGGACTTTAAACATTTATTAACATTATCTACATTAAAAACGCCGCCGACGTCACTGAAGGCGCACCTGGTACAAACAAACTACAACTGGTTTGACTGACAGGTGATTGACCAATAATCATTTGGAGGGCGGGACATCTGCGTTTGTCTGTGTTGCAAACCAGGGGCCATATACAGTATATTTACAGTTACTCCGTTATGTTCCAGTGTACATATACAGTACAGTAGTACTACTGCACACATGGGAAACTAGAGTACATTTCAGAAATAAGAAAACTCCGAATCACTTTGACATTTGCAACAACACAATCTGCCACACAAGATCATCTTATTTAACTGCCTGTCCTGTGGTTCAAAAACAATGTATTATTTATTTAATTTCTGCTTTAGCTGCCTTTAACCAACACCATTCCCAACAGTGTGATAACAGAATAATTTAGTACCCAATGATAATGAGAAAATGTGTCATTAAAAGATGAAAAAATGCTGTTAACAGATGAGCTAAGCTACTGGTCTGCTGCTGTATGACAGGGTTCTTGTTATAGTGTGAAAATATAACAGGCTTGTCTCATTATAACTACAGAGTGTATATTTATTTATGTCATAGTGGCAGAAAGACTGTAGATAGAAGTCATGTTTGTGTAGGAGAGAGTGAAGGAGTGGATGCATACACACATTATATAACATTATCAACACCCACAAGCAAAATGTTATGTGAGAAAAACATTAACTTATATAGTTCAATGGTGACTACACACACACGCACACACAGAGTTCTTTTTTGTTATTTATAGAGGCTCCATTGATTTCACCAGATGTTAATAATACACTGTTGTGTTTGTGCCAAAACAGTGTGAAGCAGTGATAGTGTAATTTATAACTGATTCACCTGTAGAGAAAAATAGAGAGAGACAACTGTTGTGATTGTGATTTGCAGCAGACACAAAGTCATTAGTTCAGGAATAAACATATTATTTATGCATATTTAATGTATGTAATTACCCTGCCTTCGCCCGATTGCCGGCCAGGATTGGCTCCGGCCCCCACCCCGTGACCCCGTTCAGGGATTAAGCGATAGAAGATGAATGACTGAATGAATAATGTATGTAATCATATGGATTGATCATTTAAAGTTGCCGTTTTCATCCTGGCCTTGGAACGCTGGACCAGCTCTTTACTCTCTTCAGGGTGGTGGAGGGTTCATGGGAGTTTGCCCAACCAGTCCACATGTGTTTCGTGGATCTGGAGAAGGCATTCGACCGTGTCCCTCGCAGCGCCCTGTGGGGGGTGCTCCGGGAGTACGGGGTCCGGGGCCCTTTGCTAAGGGCCGTCCAGTCCCTGTACGACCGGAGCAGGAGCTTGGTTCGCATCGCCGGCAGTA